GGGGTAGGAGGTTGTCCGCATTCAAAAACCTGTTGCTCCTTGTCCACACACACACACACACACACACACACACTTCACCAAGTGCCAGGCAGTTCATCCCTCAAGGCCCACCCTTGCCTTCATTGTCATGGCTCCCCTCTCCCGCATGTGCTCCCAACGGCTTCTTTCCTCAGTGTTTCCTCCTCTCTGCAGACTCCTCCCCCCGCTCCCTCCCCCCCCTCCCTCCCCCCACCCTCCTCTTCCCCTCTTTCCACTTGCAAAAGTATCTTTGCTCGAAGAAGATGCAACTTGGTTCCTTCTTCACCACCCTGCTCATCTTCCACACCTCACAAACAGAGTGAGCGAGATCGATTCCACTCGCCTCCAGAGTGGAGACTGGGAAAGGAAACTACGTACATAACCGTCGTGAAAATGATTCACTGCACCTACCTCCGACAACAATTCTTAAGCTTCTCTTTTACCGTTCGCAGCTGCTGCGCCGATTGGACAGTGGCGGCGGACTGGCAGTACCCGCATCAAAAGAAACTTGCGCACGAGTGCCACCGAACAAATCTAACAATACACCTACGATCCTTTCGCCTGCTCTCCTTCATTCTTCCCTGAATCAATTTGGCAGCAACTTTTTTCAAAAGAGGCTCCACTCACCGAGCCAATCATCCATCTCGCAGCAGGCATTCCCTCCCTCGCTCCCTTCCCTCCCTCCCCTCCCTCCTAGAGGATCTCCTCCTCCTCCTCCTCTTCTTCCAATGGAGTGAGATGAAGATGCACCAAGCATTTACATGCAGCAGAGCGTTCGTTCTGCGCCCCTCAAAATAACTTTTGCACAATACCACTCACTGGACGAACAATCACCCCTCCTGCAGCTCATCCCTACGGCAAATAGTGGTACCTTTCTTCTTCGCTGGCCGACACACCATCCGACGGTCCATAATTCACTGCTACCATCGCCCTCAGCGAATGGTTCTTCTCTCTTCCGTACCATCGCCCTCAGCGAATGGTTCTTCTCTCTTCCATACAACAACAACGACAACGGCTGGAGGACCAATCGCGTCTCGCCGATTGTAATTAAACCACAAAGTCAGAATCAGAAACTACTGCTGATACTATGGTATTGTGAGTTCATGACTACGGACGGATGTGACCGTGAATGTGAATTGTATACAGGAAATCGATCACTGACCTGAAGAATTATAATCATGTGAATCGACACCTTTTGCAGAAGAGCAGTGTGAGCAGGAATAACAAAACAGACGCCTTCGTGGGGACGCACTGAAGGACGGAGAGGGCATGGCTCGCCTGCCGCTTGATAGCAACAGATCGACCGACCAACCGAACAGCTAACTGACTGTGCACTGGGGACAGATCGACCCACCAATCGAACAAATATGAAAGGCGGAAAATGAATGGATTGCTTTCTGTGGCATCTCCAACACAAGCCAAGACAGTGCACTGTCCCCCTCGTCAATCAATCAATCAATCAATCGCTTGCTCCACAAGCCCCTCCAAGTATGTATTTGTAATCCGTATAGATGACAAAGTGTAAAATATAGATGGCCAACCAGGCCAAGTGTAAAATAAGGATGGCCTCAACGGCACTTCCGCTATCTCAAAAACGCACTACAGAGTGACGCGATCAAAAAGCAAACAATGGTTCAGCAACCTGCACCATGAGGGCATGCGCCCCCCCCTCCCCCCCCCCTCCTCCCTTCTTTCACAGATGGTGGGAGAGAGAATCCCACTCCAGCCAACTCATGGCATCGTCATCACACTCTTGCCGGCGCTTTTACTGTCTGTCTGTCTGTCTGTCTGTCTGTCTGTGTCTACCCAGTGTAACAGCTCCTTGCTTGCACCATAAGCCAATTTGCCCAAAAGTGAGCAAAGCAGCTCCTCGACTTTCCGCAGGAACGTACATACAATCGTCACCAGAAATTCAAATACAATGTGTGCTTCCACTTCCCTCGTACATCCCCCCCTCGGACCCCACTCCTTTCACCTCGCTCACACACATTCCGGGCAGTCGGACAATCGAGCCCCCACTGCCACTGAATGTGACATGCGAAACGACATGTCAAAAAATGTGCAAACAGAAATCGATTTGACGATATGAAGCTCCTCCTCCTCGACATGTACAGAGCACGGCGTCCTGCTCCCGAAAACACCTACCCCCTCCTCCTCCCTCCTCCTCGGCATGTCCAGAGCACGGCGTCCTGCTCCCGAAAACACCTACACCCCCTCCACCCTCCTCCTGTGCCAAAACAAATCCCCATCCCCTCAACTCAAAGAGCGAGGGGAGTGAGGAAGACCTCGCCTCATCAGCTGTATAATGTAGAAACACCAGGATGTAGAAACACCGGTAGTCTACAAACAACGACTGGTTGTACCAATCAGGGTTCGAACCCAGGCCATCCGCACCGCCATCTGCCACCGACGCCCATTCCACCAAAATACAGATCCTACGTCAAACTCTGAATACACGCAGGCCTATGTCTGTGCTGCTAGTGCGCCACTGCTGCTGCTGCTGCTGCCTGGGTAGCTTCTCCCTGCAAGCACTTTTACCCACCCATTTCTTCAGAAACCGATCCCTCCCATGCGAACGGACAAGGATGCCGCCGATATCAGCAGCACTGCGACCTTCCGCCTCTTTTGCTGTTAACCCCCTTCACGACTGCAGGGGCAAACTCCAAGGAGAGTTGCGTTCGGAAATTCTAAATGCAACCCTCCACAGTTCAGTAGCTGTGGCTAGAGGGGTCACCCCCCTTGCCAGCAATCAAGCCTCGACTTACGGGGGGGGGGGGACTGCAAGGGGGGTCGGTCACCACCACCCAGCAGGTACACTCAAACCATGCCAGCAAGAAGGGTCACCACCACGCAGCAGGCAGATCACTGCACGTGGGCGAGTTGCCTTGTTTTCATCGGAATGCCAACACAAGAGTAGACTCGAACGAAAAAAAAAAAAGGAAAAAGAAAAGACTAGACTAGACTATACTGTACTCAATCAGACCAATACAAGAAACGAAGCCAGTGCAAACTGTCTTGGCCGACAGAATGCTCGCACTGCAAACAGACAGCTTGCAACAGACAGAGTGCTTGCACTGCAAACAGACAGCTTGCAACAGACAGAGTGCTTGCACTGCAAATGAGCGCTGAGGCTCTCTCTTGCATGCCTCCTTTCACCACTCGCAGAGAGAGTACACTTCACTGCAAATGAACAGTGAAGTGTACTTGCATGCCTTCTTTCACCGCTCACAGACAGAGTACTTGCACCGCAAATGAGCGGTGAAGTGTACTTGCGCTGCAAATGAGCACTGGAAGGGCAGCAAGCATGTCTGCACACAGACAGATGGGGACAACAAGTCACAGCGACGTGTACTTGCACCGCTCTGAAAGTAGCAAACAAGTCTCTCCGCTGCAAACAGATAGATGCCACAACAAGTCACAGTGAAGTGCACTTGCCGGTGCCGCGCTGAACGTAGAAAGCATGTCCGCAAACGGACACATGCCACAGCAAAAAGTCAACAACTTTCCTATTCGGACATCCACAAGACCTCCCCTGCCAGTTTTTCCACAAGTACGGATGGAGATAGAAAAGGGAAACGGGAGGCCGGGGGGAGGGAAGGAGGAGGGAGGAGGAGGGAGGAGAGAGCTACTGAACTGCACACCGTAGACACCGTGGCTGATGCGACACCACCCTTGTCAACGCCCTAGACGTCCGCCTTAACTTTTCTTCTGTAAGCTTGAAGTCTCCAGAGGGCGATCCGATGCTGACTCCATCCTCGGAAGATGCATGGTGCACACCCTGGCGGTGCTTAGAACGTATACTGCCACTAAATGAGTTGTCCGAAGGTGTGTCGTCGCAAGCGTTGTCTCGCTCAGATTTATAAGTCGCGCGATGCCGATGCTTCGACCGTGTACTGCCCGTAAAAGAGCTGTCAGAAGGGGTATCGCCAGCGCTGTCTCGCACACATTTGGTGTTGAGAGTACCTTTTCTCCGCGACTCTGCTTCAGCTTTGAACATCCTGAGCTGGCCCTCGACCACTAACTTCTCCGTCTCTGCCCTCTCCGCTTTCTCCGCAGCTTCCCTCTCCCGCACTTGCAGTTCTTGCATTTGCTGCTGCAGGGAGGCCACCTCCTCATTTGCATCCTTGGCCCTCGTCGCTTCTTCCTCCGCCCTCCGGCTCACTGTGTCAAATTGCATCTTGAGACCTCGCAATTGCCCCTGAAGCAGTTTCAGCTCCTCTTTGAGTGCTCGGACCTGGGACTCCGCAGCCTGCGAGCGCGTTTTCATTTCCCTTACCCTCGCCTCGGCCCGCTGCTCTGCCTCACGGCTTCTCAGCGTTGTTATTTCCATTTCCTCCTTGGCCATTTTTGCCAGCGCGCTAACTTCTTCCGCTTCGGCGGTGGCCGTTTGATACTTCTTCCTCTCTTCCATTGTCTCCTTCCTCATTGCTTCCAGCGTAGCAACGGCTTTGGCCTCTGACTGCCTGCATGCGACGACCTCCCTCTGAGCAGAAGCAACTCTGGACTCCGCCTCCTCGATCGCTGCGGCAAGCCTCATCTCCGATTCCTGGAGTGTGGCCTTCATGCGGCTCTCTGCCGCTCCAGCCATGGCCTTTGCTCTTGCCTCCGCTACTCGTGCAATTCTAGCGTCCGTCTCCGCGCGTTCTGCCCTCGCTTCGGAATCCGCTTTCGCCTGCTGTGCAAGCTCAAGCTTGGCCTCAAGCTCGTCGACGACTTGTTTTCTCCCCCCACCCTCTCCCTTTGTCGCCGCAGTTTTTACTTTTCTAACCTCCTCCATCTCTCTCTGCAGCTTCCTTTCCCTCTCCTCCGCCCCCCGCACCTCCTCCCGTAGCTTCTCAATTTCCGCCTGAAGATTCCTTGCCCTCTTTTCTGCCAACGACGCGTCCTCCCTTGCCTCGATCAGGTCCACCCGTAAGTTGCTGGCCCCTTCCGATGCCTCCTTTTGCTGCTGCTTCACTCCTTTCAACACCTGCCGCAGCTTCGCCACCCCTTCGACCGCAACTTTGTGTTGCTCCTTCAGCGTATCGAGCTCCTTCTGCACCGCCGCGGCTTCCTCCCGCGCAACTCGCAGTTCCTCCCGTGCGTCCTCCAGCAGACGCTGCTGACTGTGGATCTTCTCCACAGCCTCTCGGTACTGCCTGTTTGCGTTCTCCAGTGCCGCCTCCCACCGAAGCGTCCTTTCCTCGTCGCCTCTCATCTGAGAGTCCATCTCTTCTGTTAGCATCCTCTTGTACTCCTCTGCGAGCTGGTACGCTTCTTCCTTCGCTTGCCGGGTTGACTCTAGTGTCTCCAGAGTGGCTTCGAATCTCTTCGCAGTGCTGTCAACCTCCCTCCTTAGTCGGTCAACCTCCGCCTGAAGTTTCCGGTTCTGTGCGGTGGATCGGAGAAGGGCAGCCTCCGAGCTCTCCAGGCCCCTCGATTTCTCCTCCACCGCCTTCTTCACCACCTCCAAATCCTTGTCCAGTGCAGACTTTGCGGAGGTGGCATCATTTGTCGCGGAAACCAGATAATACCGTTGCGTCTTCGCCCCCTCGAGATCTTTCGTACAGCGCGCAAGTTCGTCTTTCATCTTCGCCAGCTGATCATTAGCGTGCTTCAGTTCCGACCCCACCTCCTCCACTCTCTACACACACACACGCACACACATCACAATTTCAAAACATTTTTCAATCATTTAAAAGTATCACATATAAACTTGACAAAAGACTATGAGCTACGCCTGTTTCGGCATGTACTCGTCTCGGTGGAAAATGAGTTGTTCTGGTAACTAACACACACACACACACACACACACACACACACACACAGAGAGAGAGAGAGAGAGAGAGAG